GATGCAAAGTTTATTGCACAAAAAATAAACAATCAACTCTTGGGACACTGATTTATTAAATTATATATACAGAATTAGAACAATACTACCTAAATTCACTTAAAATTAGTTTACATGAATTCGAGATCATATCACTTCATTTTTATTTCTAACAACTACATATATTTAAATGTAATCAGTAGCTTACAAAATATATAACTTGTATACATATAAGAAATATAATTGCAACATATTTTCCCGTCCCACTTAACACAGACTGCGGACTGTCGGATATAAAAATGTCAAGTATCCGGTGTGGTTAAAAAATATGTTGCAAATGTATGCTTCACCAACTTGCAACATATATAACACACATCATTCACACATTACAATTAAATACAATGACCATTGCAATACATATTATAAACACAGAATAAAAAAGAATAAGTATAATAAAAAAATCGTACACATTATAGGCATACCAAATTTTAAATACGTACAATCACACTTTTACAATCACACTTTTACAATCACACTGCTTCTTCACATACAACTACACTTCTTCTCAGATGCAACATGTTCTGCTTTCGCTAGAATTTTGCATCTTTCCTTCGATCTCATCTCCGCTCCAAATCCACCACACTGCCTGAAGGCATACCTTCCTGACAGGAAAATATGACATCTTCAGGTAGATGATTGATCGAAGTAGAAGGACCTACCTAACTGATTTTTTAACTACTCATACATGCATTTACAATTTAACATTCATAAAACGAAATTATTTACGTCTTTTTTTAATAGAATTCTTATAATCCTGTACAATTTTTTTTCTTTTGTTTACATTATTTTTATACGATTCACGTATTCGTTTCATATCACACACGGCATTTATAACATCGCGCTCTAACATTTCTATATTATTATTATTAATATTAATAATTGCATTCTTATGATTACACTACGATACAATATTATTAATCGCAATTATACGCACTACAATTTTATACATATTGGCATGATGTTCTATGCATTCATGCCAATCCATATTAGCGTTCCAATTTTCTAAAAAATCTAACAGTACTTTTAAAACGTTACGACGATGAGCTCTAGTTTTTAACAATTTATTTGTAACGCTTGTAATTTGTTTTATGAAAAATAAAAATGAATTATTTCTTAAACTATTTTCGCAATTTGTACAAGAATTAACTTCTTTAAGAACTAACTTAACAATTTCATCTTGGTAATCTACAGAAGATGCTACAATTACTTCATCGGCAACATTTTTATCCGTAATTAATTCAGATGCTTCATCGTCATTACATATAATATTACGCATGTCGTTACGTTCTAAATAATTTTCAAATGTACATAACAAATTAAAATTATCATTTGCAACTTCACAATTACCGCGACGCATTGAAATACATTGCATATTATTTACAAGTAAAGTAAAAAACGATTCTTGAAATTGACGAGGTGTGGGATTAATATTACGTACAGCATGACTACGAATTTGGCCAAAAAAATTTTCTAACGGATCCTGATTACAAAATCTAGTATTTAATTTTTCAAAATCATATTTTTCACTTAAAATTTTCCACAGTTTTTGAAACCCGTCAATTGTAAACAACCAATTTTTTAAAGTCGGTACCGATTTATTTACTGTACGCGAAATTTTGTCAACGTATGCTGTTTTACGCAATATATTTTTCGCATTTACCCAAAATACATGATGATCGCTGTTTTTACTTACAGAACAACGCAAATCGTTGCTGTCTTCTCTTTTGTCGTCTCCATTCACGCTGTCAAAAAGATCGTTGAAGAAATTTACTGCTGTCGCTGTTGCTATTCCTTCTTTTTCTCCTATTTGAATTTCTTCATTGTTTACAGATACCGTGCCTATATAAATATAAACATATATATTAATAAATACATAAATTAACACACGAATAAAAACCTAATACATTTGTAAACTAATGAATAATACACTAATAAAAAAATATAATTGTTTACAATATTTTTCATTCCAATATTTGTATGTGTGTACATGTTAACCAAGTTAAAATGAAAAAATAAAACAAATTATACAAATATGATAGATACTTTTTTTATAGTTACACAATTATTTTTTCTTATACTATTTTTTGTGCAAGGAAGAAAAACTAGAATTACAGTTCTTAAAGATTTAATTATTTATTCTTTTCTTATTAAGTAAGTACTTACATTTCGATGTTGCGAATGTTTGAATAGCACTAGCCATCGTTCCACTCATTGCTTGGACTGCATTTTTTACACGCATTTTACTAATTTTTTCTTCTACCATATGCTCCGCTGTAATTTTTTTTAAAAGTGGTCGAATGGTATTGATCTTTCTATCTATGATCCAAGCTGTTTTTAATATGTCCCACGATGCAAATTGGTTTTCTTCTCCCGGAGCATTGGAAACTTGTAATACATCTTTCGATAGCCAATTATTCCGAATACCTTTGATCAGATGTGGAGGATCATATAAATGTATTATTTCCTGGTTTCCAACTTCGTATGTTTGATCTATAAAACAAGACAAATTAAAATAAATTCATGCACGCGCACATACATTTTCATGTTATGTCTCATTTATATATTTACTTTGTGCTCTATTTTCCAAATTCCTTTTCTTTCTTGTTTGAAACAATAGCTCGTTAATTGCAGCTACATTGGAGGAACCTTGATCGCACACTGTTGCAACTATGTGGAAGCCTGTCTTTGTAATTTCTGATACTACTTTTTTAATGCATCTAATTAACTGAGCGGTATTAGTCTGTTTATCACAAAAATTAAATAAAAGTGGCATTTTTCAACCAGAATGTAATCCGCGTAACATAAAAACTAAAGCATGATCCGCGACTTTTCCCGTTCGATTGTTGCCCCAATCCTCAAGACCACAAATGACATCTTTCCGAATGTCATAAGTGCACTTAGGTTGGATAGATACCTCATCCCACATCATAATACATATTTTTTCTTTCATTGACATTTTTTGAGCTACACTCTCTAAATGTCTCAAAATAAATGGGTTTAATCCAGGATATACAGGTATTTGGTGCAACACCGATTGTAACGTTTGTATCGAAGGAATTTGTTTAAAAATCGATCTTAAAGTATTATATGCATGCTTCCCCATAGTCTTGTACAGTGTTAATGCGAAGGCTTTCTGTTCTACACTATAACGTTGTCCCTGCAGAATATAAAATGCTATCATAATCAAATTTACAATATTATATAGTAGTAATTACAAAAATTAACATGTAATAAATATTTGAAAATAATATATTTTGTTTATTAAACGGTAATTTC